TGGGGTTTTTTTAAAAAGCTTTTTTTTTTTGGTTTTTTTTTTTTTTTTTTTTTTGCTCAGAACATAGTAAGTTCTCACTTAATATTAGCTATTACCACATTATAATGAAGAAATTGAGGTCTCAGGGAGTCAGAACTCAAACTCAGACTCTCTGACTCTGAAACTCTTTCCACTATTACCTTTCCTGCTGTGGGTAAAAAGCAGATACTGGGCCAAGCAAGGGAAAGAGTCAGGGTCCAGGAATTCCTGGGAGATGGGAGTGATGGGATGGTGGAAAGTAACCACAGAACTAGGGAGATAGGTAGAATGGAGTATACGCAGTTACAAGCCTCTACCCTTTGGTTTGGACAGGAGCACAGGATTTATATAAGAAAGAAAAGAACTCTGGCCCCATGGATTCTGTAATGAATCACCTGTCATAAAGTAGGGCAAACAGGGAAGGTGTTGGGAATAAGTGTTTGGGTGTAGAGAAATGGGCTCCCTTAGAGAGCTGACTTCCAAAGAATTCTTTCTGAAATATATTATGTCTTACTTTCTGAATTGTTGGTCTTGAAGAAAACCATGAGGGAGATAATCATTTAAGAAAAGTTAGAGGAGTGGTAAGGTGAAGATGAACTTGTCCCATTTCTTGTTCATTTATGTATGATCTGCACAGATTTGCCGGTGCTATTTCCTTTTTCGAGTATTTGTGAACTGGTGAACTTCTATTCATCCTTAATGACTTCTTTATTTGTTTATTTTCTCTTCCTCAGGTTGGCCTGAGCCTGCTATTAATTCCTTCAGAACATACTGTATCAGGTTTTAGTGTACTAATTTGTTTTTCTGCTTTAGCCACTAAACTGTGAGCTCAAAAATATTTGTTTTTGGATAAATGAATAAGTGAATAAATGAATAATTCTATGCAGTATTCATAGAAGTGATTACTATCCTGCCTATCTTAGTTTCCTAGAACTATTATAATAAATTACCAGAAACTTGGTGGTTTATTTTTTTTTAATTGATTACGTATATTTGTGGGAAACAGAATTGGATATCAATACTTTTGTACAATATGCAGTGATCAAATCAGGATAATTAGTATACTCATGTTTACAAAATATAATCAATCTTTGTGACCTTTAACTAGTTTCTCACCAACCCCCCTTTCCCTCCCCCTTTCCCACATCTAATAACCACAGTACTGTTCTCTTTTTTTTTTTGAAAGCTTAATGTATTGTTGTGATTCTTTCTTACTTTCTTTCTTTCTTCATCTCTCTCTCTCTCTTTCTTTCTTTCTTTTAGCTGCCGCTTATGAGTGAGGACATGAGATATTTCTCTTTCTGTGCCTGGCTTATTTCACTTAACACAATTTTCTCTAAATTCATCAATGTCACTCTGAATTGCAGAATTACATCCTTTTTTATAGCACAGTAGTATTCTATTGAGTATATATACCACATTTTCCTTATCCAGTCATCTATCAATGGCATTTAGGTTGATTCCAACTCTTGGCTATTGCAAATAGAGCTGCAATAAACATGGGAGTGCAGGTATCCCTTCAACATGATGATTTCCATTCATCTTGGTATATACCAATCCCATTGCTGAGTCATATGGCAGTTCTATCTATAGTTGTTTGAGGAGCCCCAATACTGTTTTCCATAATGGCAGCTCTGATTTACAGTCCCACTAACAGTGCAGTAGGGTTCTCCTTTCTCCACATCCTCGCCAGCATGTGTTATTCTCTGCCTTTTTGGTAATGGCCAGTCTAACTGGGGTGAGATGATATCTCAGTGTGGTTTCAATTTGCATTACCCTGATGCTGAGTGATGTTGAGCATTTTTTCATTTGTGTGTTGGCCACTTGTATACCACTTGTATATGAGAAATGTCTATTCAGCTCCTTTGCCCATTTTTTAATTGGGTTATTGTTTTCTTACTGTTGAGTTGTTTAAGTTCTTTGTATGTTCTGGATATTAATCCCTTGTCACATGCATAGTTTGCAAATATATTCTACTATTCTGTAGGTTGTCTTTTCACTCTAATTGTTTCTTTTGCTGTGCAGAAGCTTTTCGGCTTGATATAATCCTATCTGTTTATTTTTTGTTATTGTTGCCTGTGTTTTTGGGTCATATTCATAAAGTCTTTGCCCATTCCTACTTCCTGAAGTGCTTCTCCTATGTTTTCTTTTAGGAGTTTTATAGTTTCAGGTCTTATATTTAAATCTTTAATCCATTTTGAGTTGATTTTGGTATATGGTGAGAGGTACTGGTCTATTTTCATTTTTCTACATATGGATTTCCAGTTTTCCCAGCACCATTTATTGAAGAGGCAGTTTTTTCCCCAATGTATGTTCTTGTTTCCTTTGTCAAAGATCAGTTGGCTATAAGTATGTGGGTTGATTTCTGGGTTCTCAATTCTGTTCCATTGGTCTGTCTGTTTTTATGCCAATACGATGCTGTTTTGGTTACTATAGCTTTGTAGTATAGTTTGAAATCGGGGAGTGTTATGCTTCTGGCTTTATTTATTTATTTTATTTTTTATTCTTTATTTTTTGCTCAGGATTGCTTTGGCTATTTGCGGTCTTTTGCTATTCCATATGAATGTTAGGATTGTTTTTTCTTTTTCTATGGAGAATGTCATTAGCATTTTGACAGGGATTGCATTGAACCTGTAGATCGCTTTGGGTAGTATGGACATTTTCACAATGTTAATTCTTCCAATTGAAGAGCATGGAATGTCTTTCCATCTTTTGGTGTCCTCTTTAATTTATTTCATCAGTAATTTGTAGTTGTCATTATAAAGATCTTTCATCTCCTTGGTTAAATTGATTCCTTGGCTGTTTAAAATAAAAAAAATTTATTCTCTCCTAGTTCTGGAGGCCAGAGTCCAAAATCAGTATTACTGGGACAAGCTCAAAGCTTTGGCAGGGCCACATTCTCTCTGGAATCTTTAGTGGCAAATTTATTCCCTTCCTCTTCCAGTTTCTGGAAGTTGCATATGTCTTAATACTTTTCATACAACTAATATTAAGAATTCTATGGATAATTAAATATGTATAACTAATAATTGTTGATTAATAATGATCATATTGTTAGGAAGAGGAGTTGCACCTCTGATTATAAAGGTCTAAATTTTACACAATTACCAGGCTCTGCCACTCTAACAAGTCTTATTTTGGTGTGATGTTAGGGTTTATCATTTAGATTAAGGTTACTTCATGTATTTAACATGAGGTATTTTTGAAAGTTTTGCCTTATTTCTGTTGTCCTTTCTTTAGAGTAGAAACCCATCAGAAATGGTATAGCTGTTAGTGTGAGACTTCCCATATTTAGTAAAGATGTGGTAAAAGACAGAGCTTTAAATAGCCTTATTTTTTTAAAGATCTTGCTCATCATTTAAATTACGAGTAATGGATCCAGCACATAAGAATAATAAAACTTTAGAGAATGTTCATGTAGAGATATGTAAAAATACTAGGTGTGGTTGACTCATGCCAATAGGTACTTTTATTAAGTCTAGTTGACTTAAGGTTGAGAAGTCAATAATGTTTTAAATACCATTTTTTGTTAAAGCACGCATTGCCCTAAACAGCGTAGTAAGGGCTCCTAAGCAGAGTGTAAAAGTTTTAATTATATAATTATTTTCTACCATAGGATGAAAGGTAATTAGTAAAAATACTCTTGCTACAACTATGCTACTGATGAAGTGGGACTGAAATTGCTACAGGACCTTTTATGGATCATGGAAGTAGGCATGCACTGTGAATTGAGCAGATTTTCCAGTTGCAGCTAAAAGGAGACCTATAAATGGGAAAAGGTCATAATTAATATTAAGTATAAAAATTTATTTAAATTATATATTTTAATGGAGAGGAATCAGGCTTTGGTATACAAAATCAAACTCTCCAATGGGATGAGATAAAAGTGCTAGAAGGGCTGCTGTATTAGCATATGTTCCTCTATGTCATTGTCCAGTTAATAGAAATGACATAATTCCCACTCCTCACCCAATATATAGGTGAAAGAGGTGGTGAGTGGTAACTAAACTAATATTATTGCTGTAATAAGATATAAGAGTGAATGTTCATCAAAGAGTTGGCTAATATTAGGGTTTAAATGTACATATCATATGGACAATTCTATTTGATCATGTAACAAAAAAAGTGGTTCTCAATGAACATTATTGCAATGTCGCAAACCAGAATGAAAATTTCCTGAGGTTAGGTTTCATATCTGTTTTCCTTGCAGCCCTGCCCCACCACCTAGCACACTGCCTGGAACACAGTAGGTGCTCATTAAATATTTGTGAGTAATATGGGGAGGGGAGAGTGGGTGTATGCATGGACATTGCCACTGTCAGCTCATAAAGCTTTTCTCTCACTGTTTCCCTAGTGGATCCTCGAGGGTTAATCAACTCTGGATGCTGAGGTCCAAGCTCTGTCCTTGCCCTTCACCCTCCCCACAGGTAGGTGGGGCAAGCCTCCCAGGGGCAGTCAGTGGCAGTGAGGGACAGTCAGTGATCCAGAAGCTGCTGCACCATGAGTGTCTCTGTGCTGAGCCCCTCCAGACTCCTAGGCGGCATCTCTGGGCTCCTCCAAGTGGCCTGCCTGCTCGGCCTGTTTCTGCTGCTGCTCAAAGCAGCCCAGCTCTACCTGCACAGGCGGGGGCTGCTCAGAGCCCTAAAGCAGTTCCCGTCACCTCCCTCCCACTGGCTCTTTGGGCACAACCAGGAGGTAAGAAAGAAAGGAACAGGGGCATGGGAGGGCAGGGAGGGCCAGGGCTCTGAGAGCCTTGTCAGCAAGTTTGTAGGACAAAACCTTTTTGGGTGAGGAGCCCACGGCCTCTGAGCAACACCCAGCTTACCTCTCAGGTCTTGGCTCATCCCAGCCATGGGGAGCTCACTTCCTCTCAAGAAGCCCATCATGCTGTAACTCACGTCTTCCACTCACCCCTTCCTCATGCAGATCTGAAACCCTGCACCTGGAGGGCAATGGTGGGTCCTTCCTAAGCCATCTCTGCTCCAAGCTGAGCACCCCCAGCAGCCTCTGTTGTTCTCAAAGAGCAAGGCTTCTAAATGCTTTCCTTCCCCTCTCACTTGATGCCATCCTCTCTGCCTGGCTCTGAGCTTACCTAGAAATGCAGACATCAGTCTGATGCAATCTCTGCCCTGGGGGCTTCTAGGTCATGGAGACAATAGGCATGAGTCTCAGAGGGTATCGGGCCACAGGAAAAGAACTCACTCTGCTGGGGTGGATGGGTGATATCAGTTGTTGGGGACTAAACAACTCAGTCTGCCCAAGAGAGGGGGATTTTCCAGAAGGGGCGATTTCAGGGCTGAAACTCTGACAGTTGTGGGCACACATGAGGGGGACAGCCTTCATAATGTCCTACAGGTGAGGGGCATTGATGCTTGAGTCACAACATCAAACAGCGTCTGTCTACTTCCCAGCTCTCCTCCCACATACCCTGGGTAGTGAACTCCCTGGAGCAGAGCAGACCCTCCTCCTCCCTCTGCCCTAGTACTAAGCACAGACCCTGGCACAGAACGATGATTGGCCCAGGTGTGTGAAGTGGCAGAGGAAGAAGGGAAAAGAGCAGCTGGAGTGCTGGGGGAGGGACAGCACCTACCCTCCTTGCACTGTCATCTCTAGGTGTGGGGTTGCACAGCAAGGTGAAGGGCCACATGAAGAGGGGCTCACCAAGGGGTTATGCACTGAACTAACATTAGGAGATGGGGAAGGGCTTGCAGAGAGCTGAGGCCACTCATTTCCCAGCAAAGGAGGAAACATGATTATCAGCAGAGTGTAACCAAAGATGGGAAATGGAAACATCCAAGCCCTACAGGGACTGGCCCCAATTTCTCTCTCCCTTCTTCTTTCCTAATCTCCTCCTTTATCTTAAAATTACTCCTTGTCCTCCCTACCTGCTTATACATTCCAACCTCTATGTCTCTGCTCACATTGTACCCTCTGTCTGGAATAACTTTGTCCCTCTTATGTCCATCTGCCAAATCCCAGCCCCAAGTCATCTCCTCCAAGACTTCCTGGGTCTCCTGGGAATGGAGGGGCAACTCTTTTTCCTATGGACTGTCCCCTTGGGGACAGAGCAGCATTAACCTGATTGAGGTACTTTTCTGCAGTGTCCTAGCTGTAAGTTCCTTCTGGAAGAGACCATCTCTGATTCATTTTTGTAACCCAATAGGAACTTAGTAAATTATGACTCAACCTGTGAATGAATACCTGAATGAGTTAGGTCCCCTCTCCAAAGCATCCCCATATGCTTGGCCTTCTTTCCACCACAACGTTAATTACCTTCTATTGTATGGCCTCCTAATCTTTGCTTCCAAAACTATACTGGAAGCTCCAAACAGGTAAGGATCCATAGCTGCATCTTCATTCAGAACCTGAACCAGTGCTTGGCACTCAGTAGGTACTCAATAAGCATGTGCTGAATGAAGGAGCCTGTCCTATTCTAGGGCAAATTGCCCAAGAGCCGGTGAATACAGTTGTCGGAAAAATGTGAGCACAGATTAGATACCTATGTAGCAGACTGTTGCTTTGAGTTATATAGAAGCAGGTGTAATAAGGAAGAGTTGACTGAATGGAACATCCCTAGGATCAAATGTCTATGAGAATCCAGATGAGATGAAACCAAGCTGAGTCTTGGACATTGAGGAGAGGCAGCTGCTCTGCCACAAAGAAGAAGGGAACCAAAGGGTCACGGTGGAATTGGCAGCAGTGCAGGAGGTGAGATTAGAGAAGTTGAAGGCAAAAAGCAAAGGACTTTGTGACTGACACTGAAAAGTTCCTAAGACAACTCAGGGTAGCCTGGAGCTCACGAAAGTTTCTTTTTATTGATAAGTGAAAATGAGCACAAGAAAGCCAACTCTCAAAATCATAGATCAATGCCATTCTGATATGCATACATCCAGACTTTGTTCTAAAAATCTGTACATATTCAACACCTAGAATAATATTATACATGCATTTAATCTTTTTTTCACTTAATTGTATGTATCCCAAACACTATTACTTCTTAACAAGTACATGTATGCTGGGATAATAATGAAAATATAACAATCAATATAACAATATAAAATTACTGTATAGTTAAAATTTTAAGTATAACCCATTATATTCTCTAAATAAGCTAAATTATGTTACAAAACTGATTATCAAGTGACACAAGTTGTCATGCAAATTGCCCATGGAAATTGTTGTACTAATGATTTCCAAAGGTGGGGTACAGCATAGAGACAATGCCTGACTTAAGGTTCTGCAGGCGGTATTGAGTGAGAACTCATAGCTCTGTCTATCAGGGGAACAGAATGATCTGGCCTTAGGCCAAGTCCTGGAGAGACAGCAAGAATCAGGATCATAGCCCAGGTCATTAGAAAAGGTTCCAAAGTCCTAACCTCTACTGATACATCCAGAACTACATCCCTGTGGTCATCCTGTCCTTCACTCCCGCTGCAAGGACTAGAACTAAAGTTTTCATTGATTTGTCTTTCCCTTGGTGACAGTTCCAAAAGGACCAGGAGCTACAATGGACTATGAAGTGGGTACAGAAATTGCCAAGTGCCTTTCCTCATTGGCTGTGGGGGACCAAAGTCCGTATGCTGCTCTATGACCCTGACTACATAAAGATGGTTCTGGGGAGATCAGGTGAGATTGAGACCTACATCCCTACTGGAGCAGTTCTTCCCTCTTGAGTGCATGCCCCTGGTTCTGTAAAATTATAGAAGAAAGTAGCAGTTCAAAGTCAGTGTCTGACCCTCTACCATCCATCCACCAAGCTCACAATCCAGCCTAAGACCAAAAATATTTACTGAACCTTGATAGTTTAAAACAACTGTGTAGGGCTGTCTGTTATTTTTTCTGTTTGTTTGTTTTTTAATTTTATTTTTGCTGTATTTTTAATTGACATATAATAATTGTACAAATAAAAATTTATGGAGTACAGAATATTTCTATACATGTATAAAATGTGTAATGATCAAATCAGGGTAATTAGCTGATCCATCACCTCAAATATATCATTTCTTTCTTCATTTCTATCATTCCTCAAAATCCTCTCTTCTAGCTATTTGAAAATATATAATAAATTATTGTTAACTATAGTCACCCTAGAGTGCTAAGAACACTAGAACTTATTCCCCATATCTAGCTGTAATTTTGTATCCATTAACCAACCACTCCCTATCCTCCCCTCCCACCTACCTTTCTCGGCCTCCAATAATCACAATTCTATTATCCACTTCTACGAGCTTAAGTTTTTAGCTCCCACATATGAATGAGAATGTGCAATATTTATTTTTCCATGACTGACTTAATTCCCTTAACATAATGTCCTCCAGATTCATCCATGTTGTCATGAATGACAGGATTTCATTCTTTTTTAATGGCCAAATAGGACTTATATTCCATCGTGTATATATACCACATTTCTTTATCCATTCATCTGCTGATGGACACTTACATTGATTCGATATCTTGGCTCTTGTGAATAGTGCTGCAATAAACATGGGGGTCAGATGTTCCTTCAATGTACTGATTTTCTTTCCTTTGGATAAATACCCAATATGGGATTGGTGGATTATATGGTAGTTTTATTTTCAGTTTTTTGAGGAACCTCTATACTGTTTTCCATAATGGCTGTACGAATTACATTGCCACTGACAGTGTAAAAGAATTCCCTTTTCTCTCCATCCTTGCCAGCATTTGTTATTCTCTGTCTTTATGATAATAGCAATTCTAACTGGGGTGAGATAATATCTCGTTATGATTTTGATTTGCATTTCCCTGATGCTTAGTTATGTTGAGCACTTTTTTCATATACTTGTTGGCCATTTCTGTATCTCCTTTTGAGAAATGTCTGTTCAGATTTACCCTTTTTTTTTTTTTTTGAGACCGGCCGCACCGCGCTCAGTCAGTGAGCGCATCGGCCATCCCTATATAGGATCTGAACCTGTGGCGGGAGCACTGCTGTGCTCCCAGTGCCGCACTCTCCCGAGTGCGCCACGGGCTCAGCCCTTTACCCATTTTTTAATCAGATTATTTCTGTTGTTGTTGATTTATTTGAGTTCTTTGTATATTCTAAATATTAATCCCTTGTAGAATAAATTGTTTGTGAATATTTACTCCCATTCTCCAAGCTGTCTCTTCACTCTGTTGAGTACTTTACTGTGCAGAAGCTTTTTAGTTTCATGCAATTACATTTATCTATGTTTGTAATTGTTGCCTCTGCTTTTAAAATCTCACCTATAAAATCTTTGCCCAGACCAATGTCCTGAAGCATTTCCCCTATGTTTTTCCTAGTAGTTTCATAGTTCTGGTTCTTACATTTAAGTTTTAATCCACTTTGAGTTAATTTTTTTACATGGTGAAAAGTAGGGGCCAAGGTTCATTTTTTCACGTATGGATATCCAGTTCGCCCAGCACCATTTGTTAAAGAAGCTGTCCTTTCCCCATATATGTTCTTGGTACCTTTGTCAAGTGTCAGTTGGCTGTAAATGTGTGGATTTATTTCTGGGCTCTCTATTCTGTCCTGTTGGTCTATGTGTCTGTTTTTATTTACCAGTACCATGCCATTTTGGTTACTATAGCTTTGTAATATATTTTGAAGTCAAGTAGTGTGGTGCCTCCAGCTTCGTTCTTTGTTACTTTGGCTATTTGGGGCCTTATAAATAGCCTTATTTGGCTATTTTGGGGCCACATGAATTTTAGAATTGTTTTTTCTATTTCTGTGAAGAATGTCATTGGTATTTTGAGAGAGATTACATTGAATGTGTAGATCACTTTGGGTAGTATGGTCATTTTAACAATATTAATTCTTCCAACCCTTGCACATGGTATGGCTGTTAATTTTGTTTGTGTGTCCTTTTCAATTTTTTTCATCAGTGTTTTGTAGTTTTAATCATAGAGATCTTTTCCCTTCTTAGCTAAATTTATTATTAGGCAATTTTTTTGTAGTGATTGTAAAGGGGATTGGTTTCTTATTTCTTTTTCAGCTAGTTCATTAATTGTGTACAGAAACACTACTGATTTCTTAAAATTTATTTTTATTAGTGTATTCATTATTACAAATCATACTTATCCTTTATGCCCCTTATCCTATCTCTCCCCTTCCCCCTCTAATAACCATAGATTTGTTCTCTCCATCTGGTAGATTAACTGTTCCTCTGTTGATTTCTAGCTTAGATGATCTGTCCTGTACTGAGAGGTGTGATCAAGTCCTCCCCTATTACCATAAAGCAGATGCTTCCTCTATTACTGTGGAGTGTGCTTTGCAGAGAGAGAGGACCTCTCCTTCTTTTTTGGTCTCTGCTGGTACTTCTCCTTGTGTCAATGCAGTTGAGAGTCTGGCATGCCAACTGCTTGGTGGCTGCAACTGCTGTTATAGAGACTAGCCACTTTTACAGCAGCCATGGCAATTGTGGTGGCTATGGTGTGCTAACTGCATGGAAATGGTGTTTTTGGTGTGCTCTTTACCTGGTTGCAGCTGGGTTCAGCTTCCCCCAGCTCCATACCTCAGGACCCCAGTAGGGCCCCGGGACAGTAGTGGCAGCTTGTCTAGTTGCAGGTGGGTTCAGCTTCCCATGGCTTCATGCCTCAAAACTCTGGCAGGATCCCAGTGCAGTAGCAGCAGTGTGCTAAGTTGTGGCTGGGTTTGGCTTCTCCCAGCTCCATGCTGCAGGACCCCAGCAGGGCCCTGGTGGGGCCCCAGGGCAGTAGTGACAGTTTGCCTAGTTGCCCAGAAACACTACTGATTTTTGCATGTTGATTTTGTATCCTGAAACTCTACTGAATTTGTTTATCAGTTGTAAGAGTTCTTTTGTGGAGTCTTTAGGTTTTTCTACATATAAGATTGTGCCATCTGCAAAGAGGGAAAATTTGACTAACTCTTTTCCAATTTGAATACCCTATATTTCCCAGATGTGAAAAAAACAGTTTCATAGCCACACCAACTAGGGTTTAGAACTCCAAATTGCTGCCTGTCTTTGGTCAGAGAATGATGAAGTCACCACCAACTGTAGAAAATCAAAGATTCCACCTTATTCTTTGGCATTAAGGACATAGTCCGTATTTCTAATTCACCATCTAGTTCTGTGCGTGTTCTGCTGCTGGTACACTAAGTCTGCCTTCCTGAGCCCACACTCACTTTCAGGACAGAGAGGAAAAGGGCTAGAAGGCAAATAAAAGGTAATATGGGAAAACTGCCCGATTGGCAGTCATCAAGAACTGGTGGCACTCGATGGTCTAAACCACAGCAACATCCTGGGGGCTGCCTTATTTGGCCTGGCAGTTTCCTGTAAAGCCTTTCTTATCTTTCAGACCCAAAATCTAATGGTTCCTACAGATTCCTGGCTCCCTGGATTGGTGAGTACATCCAAACTAGGACTGTGGTCAGTATGCTAGTTAGGTTTACCAAGAGCTATCTATTTGGGCACACAGAGAACAACAGGAGGTGGCCACCACTGTCATAACCCCATCACTAAATCAAGCCCCATTTCTCTTCTTCTAACCAGACACTCACCCTTCCTGCTGGTGGTGTGAGCCATCCTTGGGCTCAGCATTTTCTACATCACTCCTTAGTTCTCTCCAAACATTCTCAACCTGACATTTATCTATGTCCTCCTCAACCTGCCCTCAACACTTTTTCAACCTTTATCTTATAGCTGTCATAAATACATCAAATGTACCAGCCTGATTGCGGAATTCATGTTCCTGAAATATACCGTGACCTTCCTGCCTTTGTCCATGATGCACCTTCTTCTGGGTTTTCTCCTGCAGGACACCCCACCCCCATCCCTCCCAAATTGTCACCTGTCATCCCTCTTATCCCCTCTTCTCATGCATACACAAACATACAACACCCATCTCTGACACAGGGCAAGGTTTGCTCCTGTTGGATGGGCAGACGTGGTTCCAGCACCGGCGCATGCTGACCCCAGCCTTCCACTATGACATCCTGAAGCCCTATGTAGGGCTCATGGCAAACTCCGTCCGAGTGATGCTGGTGAGTCCATCCCTCACCTTTTCACACCCACACACAGCGCAAACTCTCACAGATTGCACTCAAATATGTATGTCCCATGGACAGCCATCACAGTCACATGGAAGAGCACTCTCAGCTCATTACTGTAAGAGCAGGGTTCCCCAAAAGTGGAGGCATAAAAGAATACAAAGGTATCAAGTTGAATCCTCACTTTGCTTGTTGTTAGAAGAAAAAAGGGTATGAGGAATTCAGGGCCCTCTCCTCCCATTTCCAAGTCTTCAGCACACTTAAAGGACTAGAGAAATGGTCAATCCTACTGGATAGCAAGACCTGTCCCTGGCTGGCACAGGCAATGGCAGATTCAGGGGCAGGGTGGACATCCCAGGATGTCATTCAGTTAGACACTGGCCTAGGGCTCAGGGCTTCAGAATGGATTGAGCCACTCCATAAAGTGAAATAAACACCAGGTCAACATGCTCAGAACCATACTCGCCATATCATCACTTCCATCAGAACTCTGATTTCTCAGCCAGTGTGCTCAACAAACATTTGATGAATAAAAAGGAACTGAAGTTCCTGGGTCCCCCCCAAAAGAAGGTCTTTTCTGGCTGCTTAGGCTTTCTTAGGAAACCTAAGACATTTTGCTCCCTCAAGATGTGGCCCTACCAGGCCCTCAGGGCTAGCTTAGCTCTCAAAACACTAAAAAATCTTCTTACTTTTTTACCTCCAAGCAAAAAGTTTCTTATCAATCAAAAGTCATAACTGATTTCCAAAATTCAAAACAGTTCAGACTATTGTGAGAGGCTATGTATGTTTAATTATGTATTAAAACTATGTGAGAAACAGGCATCACTTTACAAATATTTGCTTCACAGTCCCAGCTTGCTGAAAGGCATCTGCTCTATAAAGTGAGGGATCCTGACTGGGTGTCTGAAGATACAGGGAAAGAGCCTTGCCTTTTAGCACAGGCTTTCCAGGGGAATCAAGAAGTGCCAGTGTCTCCCTTCTGCCACAGGACAAACTGGAGGAGCTCATTGGCCAGGACTCCCCTGTGGAGATTTTTCAGCATGTCTCCTTGATGACCCTGGACACCATCATGAAATGTGCCTTCAGCCACCAGGGCAGCATCCAGTTGGACAGGTTGGTGACAACCCTTTAGCCGCAGGGCCCTTGTTCTTGCCAACTGGTGTGAACTTTCCTGGGAAGCAGATGGAGCAGCTTGGAGGCTCACCTCCACACAAAGCAAGATGCAGCCCCCTACTAGTCTCTAATTCTAGACCAGGCCAAACCCTGACTCAGCCACAGATCCCTGATCCCAGGCACAGGTAGAAGCCTGGCTGCTCAGGCCATCTTACGGAGGCCAGAGGACCGCAAGGGCTGCAGTACAAAGTGATGGATGCATCAGTGTTGTCTGTCCCCACTGTTGGTGGAATCCCTACCCAGAGCCCCACTCAGCTTCCAGAACAGAACCCCCCCTGCCCCTTCACACCACTCCAATTCACTTTTTTCTGCATCTTCCCCCTCAGGAATTCCCAGTCCTACATTCAGGCCATTGGGGACCTGAACAACCTGGTTTTTTGCCGCATAAGGAATGCCTTTCACCAGAATGACACCATCTACAGGCTGACCCCTGCTGGCCGCTGGGCCCACCGTGCCTGCCAGATTGCTCATCAGCACACAGGTCCTGTCTCCTCCCCTTACCTCCCCTCCTTTACCAGGCACAGCCCAAAGGAGCTGACCCTGCCCCCTCAGGCCAAACCATGCCCCCTAGTTGCCCTGGTGACATGCTGGGGACTTTCCTGGTGCCAGGATAGGGAGCTGAGATGTTACGATGCCAGGGGCTGTGCAGGGCTCTGCCTGTGTCATCATATTGCTGAGGTTGATCAACACCCCTTCCCAGCAGCATTCAGGCAGAGGCTCCATGGGCTGTGCTACTAAAGGTAGGTCTGGTCTGCATCCGATGGAGCTGGAGCTCCCACTCTGACCCACACACCACTCCAACACTCATCCTCAGCTCTACCTGGCACCCAGATTGGGGCAGGTGGATCAGCTGGGGCTACTGGAGGTTGCTGTAGCTCTCAGCTCTGCCTGACAACCACTGTTCTGTGACAGACCAAGTGATCAAGCTGAGGAAAGCTCATCTGCGGGAGGAGGGAGAACTGGAAAAGGTCAGGAGAAGAAGGCATTTGGATTTCCTGGACATCCTCCTCTTCACCAAAGTGAGTGTGTGTAGGAAAGCCCTGAGGCTTTGCCCAGAATCATAGAGCCAGGGAAAAACGAACCCTGCATTCCCCCTATGGCCTCCCCCAGACGGAGAATGGGAGCAGCTTGCCTGATGAAGACCTTCGTGCTGAAGTAGACACGTTCATGTTTGCGGGCCATGACACTACTGCCAGCAGCATCTCCTGGATCCTCTATGCTCTGGCCAAGAACCCCAAGCATCAGCAGAAGTGCCGTGAGGAGATCCAGAGCCTCCTGGGAGATGGAGCACCCATCACCTGGTGAGTCAATGCTCAGAGGTGGGAGAGCCCTGCCCTTTCTGAAAGGGGCAGTGCCCCTGGTCTGCCCAGTTTCTGCCCTCTCTTCAGGATGGGCTTCTTTTCAGGGACCATTTGGACCAGATGCCCTACACCACCATGTGCATCAAGGAGGCGCTGAGACTCTACCCACCAGTACCCAGTGTTGGCAGAGAGCTCAGCAAGCCCATCACCTTCCCTGATGGTCGCTCCTTACCCAAAGGTATGAACTTTCCCATGGTCACTCACCTAAGCACTCCACAGGGACACAGCAAGGGTCAGAAACTCACATGTGCTTCAGCAGTTCTGAACCTCTCTGGCTCCCCACTTTCCTCAACAGTAAAATTGATACATACTTTGTACTTAGGATGAGGTATATGAAATGCCTGGCACAGGTCTGGACCACGGCAGAAGTTCAGTAAATATGAGTGCTCCTTCCTACACATAAAGAACATATTCCATTATGGGACATTGGCCTGAATGACCTGTAAGAATCATTTCAAGTCTGTTTTCCACAGGAAGAGAATCCTAAGCTTCTGTTATTCTACAGGGCTAACATCCCATTGTCTTTAGTATTCATGGATTTATAAGTCTACAGTTAACTCAACTTTGGTGGCTCTGACATTCTGTTATTCTCACTCAAAGATTAAGCTACTCAGAGACCACTTCCGCCTGCATAGTCACACTTTTTTGTTTTTTATTTTTTTTAATTTTTATTGAATCAAAATTGATTATACATATTTTGGGTGTTCAACATTGAGATATCCTGATCAAATCAATATTACTAGCATATATAGTTACAAATAATAATTATTCTTTATGCCCCTTGTCCAATCTCCCCCATCCCTTTCTGCCTCCCCACTCCCCCTCTAATTACCCTAGATTTCTTCTCTCCTTCTGAAAGAATAATGGTTACTCTGTTGATTTGTTGCCTAGATGATTTGTCCAATGCTGAGAAGTGTGATCAGGTCCCCCAATAATATCATAGAGCAGATGCTCTTCTGTCACCCTGAAATGGACTCTGTGGAGAGAAAAATGGACTTTATCTCTACTGGTGACTCTCCTTGTATCAATGCAATCCAGTGACTGGTGGACCATCTGCATGGTGGTGGTGGCATCTAGCCACTTTCATGGCAACCATGGCTATTGTGGTGGCTGTGGTGGGCCACCCACATGGAGGTGATGTTTTTGGCATGCTCCTTGGCACTGGCAGTGTGCCTGGTTGTGGGGAGTGTCCTGTCCCTGGCTCCATACCTCAGGTCCCCAGGTGGGCCCTGAGATGTGACTCAGTGTGCCTGGTTGTGGGAGGGGGGTCCGGTCCCCTTCTCCATGCCTTGGGTCCCCAGGTGGGCCCCAAGGTACTGGTGCAGTGTGCCTGGTTGTGGGAGGGAGGTCTAGTCCCTGGCTCCATACTTCAGGTCCCCAGGTGGGCCCCAAGGCACTGGCAGTGTGAGTGGTTGTGGGCGGGGGTCCTGTCCCTGGCTCCATGCCTCCTATCTCCTGGCAGGCCCCAAGGTGCTGGTGGTGTGCCTGGGCCAGAACTAATTTTTTGTCCTTTGCTTACTTCCAACACAGGGGAACTTCCTGTGGGAACCAATACTTGAGCTGTGTTGTTGAGCTAAATTGTTGTTTTGTTGCTGTTTCCCTAGGGAAGGCTTTTTGTGCAGCTCAGGGTTTAATGGTTGACCTTATAGGTACTTCCAGCTCTCCAGAGACTCAGTACACCTGGGTTGTATAGAAACTCTGATCTGGGCCTGAGTTTTTACATCTAACTGCACTCCATGCTATTCTGCATTCCCAACCAGTCTCCTCTGAGTGGTCCTGTGCTGATTGGGGGGTGGATTGGCTGTCCTTGCTATGTCCCAGTGTTCTCCCAGTGGGGCTGTCTCCCCCACCACCCATGCTCCAAACACTTCACACAGGACGGGCCTTGTGTCAGTCACTTGCGATGATTCACTGGCCTCTGAATGGCTCACCATTTCCAGCTGTTCTGGATCCTTGCTCCTGCGTGGGTCTACGGGAACCATGTTAGTGGTCTTGCAGCCCTGGGGGCCACCAAGGCCCTCTTCTCCCCTCCCGCTTCCAAGTAATTCCATCTGAAGGGCACAGCTATGGCTTCTGCCGACTCCTGCTCTGTGCGCTCAGCAGTTCTAGCATTAAAGCAGCTGCAGCCCGAAATGCTCAGAGCAGTTTTTTCTTTCTCTCATTGTGGCTTCTCCTGCCTTCATGAACTCCATAGGTCTCTCCTTCTCTTCCCCTGAGCTCCAGTGGCCCCAGCTTGGCTGATGTTACATTTTTATACTTGTAAATTGGCTGGTTTGTAGGAGAGAGTGACACTGGGGACCATCTATTCCATCATCTTGACCAGAACTCCTGTATCATCACACTTTTTTAACATCCTCTATAGTTGACGTAATGCATAGATAACTCCGTTGTGATAAACGCACATCAGTCAATATGATGATGACTCAATCTTAGACTCTTATTCACCTAGTTATTCACATCCGTGGCCTCTGATGTGCCTTTGGGATGTTAGCCCTAAAATTTTCGTTTCCTGGGATGTAGAGTGCTGGAGAGAAAATCAGACAGAGGCAGAGAGAGATGTGGTTATTTCCCTATGGAGTCAGGACAAATGAAGGAGACCAGCAATTGAGTGTCCTGGCTCTGATGTGGTCCAGTCTCTGAGACCTCAGGTTGATGACAGGGAGTAGCTGATGACCAGATATAAGACCCCTGCCATGCTCAGAGGCCACCATCAGCTCACACCCATTGGGTCTGAATCCAAGCCCTACGTGATCATAGGCAAGACACTCAGCCCCTCCAAGGCTCCAGTGCCTCATTTGAAAAGTGAGGATATAAGAGTATCTTTTTTGGTTCTATCAAATGAGTTAATATGTATTCTCCAAAAGCTCATGGAAAGCACTTGATGAATGTCGGTTGTTACTTCAGTTACTACAAACTATAAGTGTACAATGCTTTCTTGCTATGATTTCTGGGTTCATGGTTTTCTGCTCCTCACCTGTGCTCACATGCCTGGCCAAGCCACCACACCTCCCTTGTAACAGGATCATCTACTCATCATGATATTTGTGGTCCTGGGCCTTTTGTGCACGCACATGCCCCTTGCTGGCTGAGGAACCAGGCCCCCACCCAAGGGTAAAATCAGTCTTTTCTCTGTCCCCTCCCTACTCCACAGGTACCATAGTCGTACTGTACATTTATGCCCTTCACCACAACCCAAAGGTGTGGCCAAACCCAGAGGTATGAGGGCCCCGGGAGGAAGGAATGGGATGACTTCCCAGGACCAACACCTCCTCCTGCTCCCCTTTCTGGCATTCTGTCCCCTCATGGGTTGGAAGCAGGAGTGACCCCTATCTGTCCTGGCCCTGTCATTCTCTCTGCAGGTGTTTGACCCTTCCCGGTTTGCACCAAGTTCTGCTCGACACAGCCACGCTTTCCTGCCCTTCTCGGGAGGATCAAGGTGAGGCATCCTGTGTGTGGTAACGGGGTGGGAGAAGAAGAGGGGTTTCTGGACACATACCTATGTTTGTGATCCTCTATATTCATATATGGTATCTTCACTTACGCCCTGTGTGTTGGTGTCTGTGGGAAGGAGGACTTCTGTCGATGTCTCTGTACAAAAGAGAAGTATCATTTCAGGGCACACCATGGAGACTCTGAGTCACAGCCCTTTCCCAGTGGCCAGCCAAAATTCAGTGTCAGTGGGGGCTCCAAACATCATGTATTCTGGTGTTTTCCTCACTTTGGAAGTATGACTTAATGAATTAGATTTTCTCACGTAAATTAAACTTCAGGTGTTATTCTTTTCTATTGTCATGAATATTAAAGGATACATTCCTCTCTTTCTATACATTCTACCCAATTCATTAATCCTGGAATCACTGAAGCAAAAGAATAGTTTGCATGTGTGTGTTTTCTAGATGGTTTGCATGTCCTAACTGTATGGTCATGCACTTGAAAAGTTATAGTAGTGTGTTCTACAGAGACAGATACTATACTCAAGACAGAAATCACTCCTTCATGTATTCTTTACCTCACTCATTTACTTACTGAGCAGCATGTTCCTGGCACTGTCCTAGGTATTAGACTATGGTGTGTCCATGAGTAAAACACTTACGATACCTTGGGGGCCCAGGGAGGGAGAGGTGAAGGGAGGGCTGTCCAGGGATCTCAGCATCAGGAACTGAGCTAGGAAATGGGGCTGGATAGGGAAGAAGTGGGTGAGGCCCCAGCCCATGGAGGCCTTTGTTGCCAGCTGAGGCATGTGGACACTGTCCTGCCTGTGATGGAGATCATAGGAGGGTCTGGGCTGGGCCGTGGTTTCAGTATGAAGAAAGGGAGGCAGGGAAGCCAGAAAAAGCCAGCTGAGGAGACTGATGGATGGCAGGAAGGGACATTTCTGGAGTAGAATTAGAAGCTACAGAAGCTGGTAGGCTGAGGGGTGAGGATCAAGCAAAATCCTGGACCACTGAGTGACAGGCTGATGGGACAACAGCTGGAGGGTCATCAACTCATCGTCCTCTCCAGGAAGCTTCTCCACTACCCTTCTGACTGCCCTTCCTGCCCATCTTGTCTTCTCTCTGAAGATCTGGGCCCCTGTGTGTTCCCCTAGATGGGCAGCACCTGAGACTATGTCCTATCCCTCTCCTGCTGTGCACTGAGCTGGCCACCAAACTGGGAAATCAGGATTGTGCAGGGAGTGAGCAAACTAATGACAAATTCTTAGATGGTTAATATTATTAGACTCTGTGCCTTGGAGTGCAGGCCCTGTCCTAACAGAATTTCATGCCTGCTAAGAACAGAGGAGGGTCAGGGCTAGTTCTGGAAGACTGGTAGGCTTTGTAAAGGTCAGGGGAGACTATAAACCAAGGCTGGGGTAGAGGTGTGTGTGACCTGTAAGGAAAGGGGCTTGGGGGCTGGGACACATGAAGGATGACTCTGAATGACCAGCTTTGGACTGGGGCTCAGGGACCAATGCCTGACCAGCTCAGAACGGGGCCTGAGGCCACTTCTCATTTCACTGTCCCTGCCTGGCCCAGGAACTGCATTGGGAAACAATTTGCCATGATCGAGCTGAAGGTGGCCGTGGCCCTGACGCTGCTCCGCTTTAAGCTACTACCGGATCCCACCCGGGTCCCTACCCCTCTGCCGACAGTTGTATTGAAGTCCAAGAATGGGATTCATCTGCATCTGAGGAAGCTCCTTTAACCCTGATGGGGACAAAGATGGGCCCTGAAAGACTCCTTCCTGCCATCTTGTTTTCCTGTCACCTGCTCCTGTCCCCACCCGTCTGCCCACATCCTGCTTTCTAGATAGAAACCATCTTCTCACCTGCCTGCTGCCCTGCTTCCTGTCCTCTAGTCTATCTGTCCTTCTCTCTCTCACCTTTCTCCAGGCTTGCTACCCGTTTGTCTGTCTACTTGCCTCCTCCTGCCTGCATCTCTGACTGTTCACCCAACTCCTGATCACCTGCCTGCCCTCCAGCCTGTCTGACTCTCTGTCTTATTCCTTTCTGCCTGCTCGTCTCTCCCTGTATTTATTTCCTATTGATGCTGTAATAAACTACTACCACCTTAGTGGCTCAAAACAACACAAACTCATAATCTTTCAGTTCTGGAGGTCAGACATCTCAAATGGGTTTTCCTGGTCGAGAACTAAAGTGTTGCAGGAGCTCTAAGGGAGAATCTCTTTTCTCCTATTTTTCAGCTCCTAGAGCTTTGCACTCAAAGACAAACATCACAGCTTTCAGGTCATTTATGTGTAGTTTCAGCTGGGAATTTGAATACCAGATCTCGGTTTTTTTCCTTCCCCCCATTGTCCAGTGCAGTTAGAAGCAAACAGCCAATCTTAAAATACTCATTAATCTGACTAAAATGTTCTAAGGTATCAAATTCATGGTCACACAGAACCTTGCCTTTTGTAAGGTATTTGATTTAGTAGTATCCAGTGGTGATCGTTTGCTTATCTCTATTGCCACATTGTGCCACGGACTACCAGTTTCCTCTCTACCAATGGAAATAGAGTCATTTGTGACTTTCAAACCAATCATATTAGAGAACCATTTCCAAAAACCCAGAAACAATTTTTTTTAAAAAAACCTCATCCTTAAGATTATGTTCTTCTAGTATCATTTTTTCTACTAAAATCTGTCTTAGTCAGGGACCAGTGGGATAGATGGCTATCCAGGGTAGAAGAGAACATGGCAAGAGAAAGTGCCTGGGCCCTACTTGCCCTACCAACCATGATCTCTCCTGCTCAGGTAAGAATGGGCACTGGGGGACCAGGCTGTCCAATTGATGGGATAACTGACTGAGTGGGGCAGGACTAATGTAAAGTAGAAAGGTAAAATTGCATCAGCATCAAACTCAACTTTATCAAAACATAGAAAATAGGAACTGCCTGGGTTGATCTACCCATGGGTGTAACTGCTTCAAGCTGCTGTCTAGGGAATCAACAGCCCTTCCTCTGCCTTTTTTTTTTTTTTTTGAGGGGTGCAGTTTATAAACTGAACCAAGAAACATCCACGAATAAAAATACCAACTGATTTTTTTTTTATTTTGTCAATATACAATGTAGTTAGTTATTGTGTCCCATCACCAAAACCTCCCTCCCTCCTACCTCTCCCCGCTCCCACCCAGATGTGTCCCCTCCTTTTTCTCGTTGTAAGAGCTTCAAAAAAAAAAAAAAAGTTGAGGTTGTTAAATCTTCCTCTCCACCCCCCCTGGTTTTTTTTGTTGTTGTTGTTGTTGATGTTGTTGTTGCTGTTTGTTTGTTTTTGTGTGAGTGTGTGTG